TTTCGTTGTTGTATTTCTTTTATTCCTTAATAAAATTTATATAATTGGTTAATATTTCATTTTGTTCGCATGTGTTATGATAATAGAAGTAACAATTGCAATAATATTAATAATAATAATGACAACAATAACAATAACAGTAAGTAAGTGCTATAACAACAACAATAACAACGGCAATAACACTAATTATTATAATGATTAATAAAATAATAATAACCATAATAATGGTAATAACAATAATAATAATAATGGTAACAGTAATAATAATAATAAAATTATTAAATAAGCTCTATTTATTAAAAATTAAGTAAGCTCTATTTATTATTTCGGTGATTAGATGATCATTTAATTTAACTATGATTTATCTATCTGATTTTATTAAAATGATAGCAATAGTAACAGTAATGGTATTAATAATAATAATGATAGTAATAATGATAGTAATATGATAATAATGAAAACTGTTAATGTTAACAGTGAAATAGTAGAAATAATAATATAAGAAAGAGTTTTTATTTTTTTAATTTTAGCTTTACTTTAAAAAATTTTTAATTTTGCTTGTTTTTTTTCTATTGAAAGTTTTTTCACTTTTTTTTTTTTTTAGTAGAAGTAATAATAAGAGTAAGAAAGAATATATGAAAATTATTTTAGTTTAACTTTTGAATGTTTACAAATAATTTTCTTTTTTTTTTTTTGATTTATATTCATTCTTTTATTTTGCAATGAAAATGCAATTGCATAATAAATGATTTTTCAATAAAAAAAAAAAAAAAAAAGGAGAAAAAATAAATAAATAAATAAGTGAATGAATCGATAATAATAAATTTCCACTTAAATAATTTTTTAAAATGAAAAATATACAAATATTCATTTTGCCATCACTGTAAATTGACTAACAAATGGAACGATTGATTTATAAATTGAAAAACAAATTTGAAAAAATTTATTATTTTTTTAATATTAACTTCAAATATTTTATAACTAATAAATTAGTATGCAAATATGAAATTTCAAAGCGAATAATATTAAAAAGTATCATAAAATTGTTACCAATTAGTAAATAATATTTGGTAAATAAAAAAAAAATTAGGTAATAATGCATAATGTTTTAGTTATTTTAGATTTTTTCCTTCTAAATTTTAAATTTTTAATTTAGTACAATTGAAAAAAAAAGGTAAGATTCAATGATATAAAATGAGATTAATTCCCGAAATGAAGTTAATTCCCGAATAGCTATGAATATCTAATGAAAAAAACTAAAATACTAAAATATCTAATTTTATTTATTCATTTTTTTTTATAAATTTAATTCATATAATTTTTTCTGAATTTAATGATTAAATTGTCATAATTAATTATTAATAATCATAATTGATTAATTAATCATTAATAAAAAAAAGCAATCATAAAATATATTAGAGAGATTGAAGATTGAAAAAAAAATTGAAATAACTTTACTAATATTAAAAAAAAAAAACATGTATATAATTTTAAGTAAATTATTGAAGACTATTTTTCTTATCCAATCTTGGCAAAAAATATTTGAGTGAAATTTTTTATAATTCTTGAAAATTATCAACTCTACCAAAAAAAAAGAAAAATCAATTCTCTTTTAAACTAATTATGAAAGAGTTACAAGCTAAATACTTCTTATCAGTTAACTTTATCATCTTTTATCAGATCTAATTCCTATTATTCAATATGATATCAATTGCAGACTGAAATTACACGAATATTTTATCAGTAAATAATCAATCAATCAATCATTTATGCTATCATTTTATCACATTATCAAAATATGAATGCACTAAAGAATCGCATCATATTATATTTAAATGAATGAAATGAATGCATTAAAATTATTGGTAATTTGTAGCAGAAATCTAAAATGATTAGTGTTAATTAATATTGATAAATTAGAGATAAAGCACTGATAATTAATTTGATAAGCTAAAAGGATTAACAGTTAATTAACTGAAAACAATCAATTTCTAATCATTTTAATGATCAAATGAAATGATTGCTAAAATTTCTCAGTGGATTAGTTAAATAAAAAAACAAAAAGTTCAGAAGAAAAAAGGAAGCACAGAGTTAAATGTTATGTATGTGTGTGTGTGTGTATGTGTATGTATGTATGTATGTGTGTGTCTGTCTGTCTGTGCATATCAAATATTTATTTGCAAACTTTCCGCCTGTGTGCTCTTATGTCCTCCCAATGGGACAAAAGTTTTGGTGAAATAATGGAACTTTGGAAAATAAAAGGATAGCTGCATATGTCATTGTTTATTTCTTTTTAAATATGTATGTTATGTATGCGTGTGTGTGTCTGTGCATGTGTGTTTGTACAAATCTATATGTATGTATGCGTGTGTGTATGTTTGTATGTGTTGTATGTGTATGTGTTTATCCAAATCTATATGCGTATGATTGTATGTGTTCATGTGCATGCATGTATGCTATGTGTGTGTATACAAATCTATATGTACACATGTGTATGTGTGTGTGTGTGTGTATGTATGTGTGTGTGTGTGTGTGTGTATGGTGCATGTATGTATGTGTATTAATGAATATGCAAATTGTTTACATTTGCTGATTTATTACCACCATTGCTATTATTGTAGGTATTATTATCACTTTAAAGTATTAAAAGATGAGAAAGGTCATAGGGTTAAATGAAGGGTTATAGGTTATAGGTTAATCACAATATTACTGTGAACTTTGAACTCCGATAGTTCACCAAGAAAAATAATCTAAAATGGAATTTATATATGATGAAGTATATTGGAATTGCAATCATTCATTAATTGTAATATGAAAAAAGAAAAATGAAATTATCAGATGATAGAGCAATTGATACGATATCAATAGATAACACTGATATGATACAGTACACGTACGTCGATAGATACGTGAATACGTAAACGCATACGTATTTTTGCATTTATACGTTTCATTAATGAATATTTGAAGGAAAGAAAACAAAAAAAAAAAAAAAATAAAATGAAAAATTAAGAATTATTAAAGTATTATTATCATTTATCAGTTATTTTACATTCTAATAAATTAATTGTTTATTTATTTTTTCTTGTTTATCAATCGTTGTTTGTTTTTTTGAATATTTTAATTCTTAAAATAATTATTCTCTCCAATTTCTTTTTTTTTCCTTTTAAATATTTAACAGTCAAAAAAAAGTCAAATTGAAGAATATATTATACTTTCGTTTCAAATTTTTCATTTCAATTTATTATTTTGATTTATTGATTTACTATAGAAATTAATAGCTATAAGTTGAAGTTATTTTTATATAATTTTTTTTTTTTTATTTTATTTGTTAAATTCAAAATTGATTTTAACAATATCACTTTAATTGCTTAGGTATTTATTTATTAAATTCAAATTATAACATTTGCGGAAGCAATAAACGCCATGCGCTAATGTCTTATTATTGAAAGAAAAATTCTTTTTAGAAATTTGATCTTGATATGAAATATACAGAAAGCTATGCTATAAGATTGCTGATAATTTCAAAAAATTAAAGTCAAACATTTGGGTCACATAAGTTTTGAGATTTTAAATTCAGTAAATAATCCGAAATTTTAATTTTGAAAAATTATTTTAAAGCCTTTATGTATATCACATTAAGTTGAATAGTAATATACAAAAAAAAAAAACAAAAAAATTAAAAGTTAGAATGATTAAACAATTTTGGATTAATAAATTTAATAAATTCATAAACCTAAAATATCAAAATAAAATTCTTCTTTCTTCTCATTTCTCGTTTATTTTAATTTTTTTTTTTTAAAAATTTCAATGCAAACTGTGAAACGTTTAAGGAATTAGTGAATTTTTTTTCAATTTTTAATTTTGAAATGATTAAATTGAATAATATTTATTCTTTTTTGGACTGAAAATGTTACATTAAGCAAAAATTCAACAAATTCTCTCTTATTTGTTTACTTTTTTTTATCAAAGAAATATTTTTTTGGATCTAAATAGAAATGAAATTCTGAAATAATTCAAAAATGATAAAAAGAAAATATCTCTTTTTAAATGAAATCTAAAAATAGATGAGAAAACATAAAAATGAGTTATGTAATTTAATTTTAAATATAATTAAGTCTTATAATCTTTAATATTTATACATGAATAATTTCAAATAGGTCAAACAGCTTTTTTGATAATAAAAGAAGAAAATGCAAAATTGAATTGCTGACGAATCAATTAAATAATTTCAGTTTTGAAAAAAGGATTTTAATTTTACAAATCATAAATAAAATTAATCAGTCAACAAAACTTTCAAATAAAAACTTTTCAAATTTTATCTCAAAAAATATTATAGATTAAATTAAAAAATCTCAATTATTTGATTCAATCCTATTTTGTAAACAGCCATAAATTTTTCTATTCCTTTTTTTTTTAAACTAAATAAAATGAAATTATTTTCTTACATATAAAACTGAATGCTAACATGAGTTAATGAGTTAAAATTTAAATTTTGTATTTGATATTTAATTATTTCACTCATTTTTTCATCGCATTATTATCGATCAATGCTTAATAAATTTTTTTCAAACATCCAAAATTGCAAGAGTGCAAAGTTCAAAGGTTAATTATGATTTCTTTTTGTAAATTTCAGCTTAAATGTTTAGCTTAACTCAATCAAAATTATGCTAAAGTCCAGCATTGCATACTGTGACAATTAAATATTTGAATATTTTATCAACAAAACTTATAAACAAACTTTTGTTGACAAAATTATTATTTTTTTTTCTCATAAATTTTTGCAAAAAAAAAAAAAAATAATTTATCCTAAGCAAAATTTTCCAATTTAGTTAAATAATTTCAACCAAAAACAAAAAAAATTAAAATTAATATGAAAGGCGTACATTTAACTATCACTGATAAAATTTATCTTACATTAATTTAAAATTAAAAACTTTTCTTATCTATTTTACAACAATAATTAATTAAAATGTAAAATATACATAAGAAATTTAAATTTATTTTATACCAGGTGAAATTGAATTAATTGTAGCGCAACGTTTGATATTACTGATAGAGAAACCGATACGTTCCACATTATCACTTAAAACAATTATCACTTCTTCCTCACAGTATGAATTTCGAATCTATAAAAAAATTATACCTATATTTTATTTAAATTAATTTAATAATATAATTTTATATTTTATTTAAATTAAAGTTAGAAATAAATTAAAGTTGAAATAAATCCATTTTTTTTCTCTATTACATAAATTAATTTAATAATACAATTCAACTTTACCATTCATACCTATTTCGCATCTATTTTTTCTTTCCTTCTCAAAATTTAATTTATTTTAAACTTCAGTTTAACTTACCTTATCATTTATCAATTAGTAATTAAAATAATTAAATTAAAAATACCTGCCATACATCATTTGATTGACATTGAAATGTACTGATCAGATTTTGTGAATGATCAATGCAACAGCAACAATAACAATTTTGATAAATTGTTGAATCGGGTCGGTATGCGTCTGATTCACGTGACGATGATGTCATCCACGGCGTTGACACGTTACGTGTTAAACGATTATTGCAACTGAAAAATGAAAAAATATATAAAACAAGAAATAGATCAAAAAAAAAAAGAAACAAAGATGATTTTTGTTAAAAGGTAATAAAATGAGATCAAATAAAAAAAAAAAAAATTCTTTTAAATTTTAGAAATTTTAATTTCTTATCTCTTAATAAATTGATTAATGAATAATCAATCTATTACTTTATCATATTTATCAGTCTAACTTACTTCAATCATTGAAATTCAAATTTTCAACAATGATAAATTACACAATAGAAGAAATAAAAGTAATAATAATTGTAATCAAAATCATTTCTCTTTCCTATTTTTTCTTTTTTTTTGCATTTCAATTTTATTTTAAATTGATTAATTTGATAAATGTAATTATTATCACCGATAATGATTCATAGATATATCATTGTATGACTGATATGGTTGTAATTGTTTGTTTTGTTCACTATCAGTAATAGGCTGAAATAATCAAAATATATTTTAATAATTATTTATTGACAAAAAAATGTAAATATAAACTAATACATTTTAAGACCTAAAAAAAAATAATAATTTTAAACGTTAAATAGAAATTTAAATGAAAAAACGAAAACATACACACATTAGTATATTTAAGTAAAATATTAAGTATTCAAATATTTTTTTAAATGAAAAAGAATTTTTCAATATTTATAAAAATTAGAAATAAAAAATGTAAAAGCATAAAAGAAAAAATAAATTAAATTAAATAAATGAATTTAACTTTCAATTTTTCCTTTTTTTTTTTTGTTGTACAAAATTACATTAAAAATTTTTGTTTTAAAATTTTTTGTGTTTCTTTTTTTTTTTTTTTAAATTTTTAATTTGAATTATTGGATAATTTGAAGGAATGAAATATTTCAAATTTACCAAATTTTCAATATTTCCTTCACATATTGTATAGTAATAGATTGGTTCATCAAAATTAGACGAAACAGTGATATGATCACTAATCTGATCGTCTACTGATAAAAATTGATAAGATGAGGAAGACACAGGTGATAATGGCTTTTGCCGTAAATAAGCCATTAGCTAATTAAGTAAGTAATTGATTGCTCCTTTTTTCATTTATTGTTTTTGTTTTGTTATTAAATAAAGCTAAAAGCTTTATCATTTATCTGAAACATTTTATTTTCATTATTTTTTGATAGAAAATATGAATTGATAATGATAATTATAAAATAAAAAATGATAATAACTCATTAATTTCATTAAATAAGGTAAGCATAAATTATTTGTACTATTATATCAAATTTTATCAATGAATTATTGTAATTATTATTTGTTGTTATCATTTATTGTTATCATTATTATTATTCACTGTTGTTGTTATTATATTGTTTTTATTATTTGTTTATTATTATTATTTTTATCATTATTATTATCATTATTGTCAACTACGAATTTATATCATTTTTTTTCAATTTTTTTTTTCATCTAAAACAATAATTGCAAAAATGTGAAATAAAATTTTGCTTTAAATTTTTTTTTTTTTTAAAATCACAATTATAAGAAATTTCTAATAATTATTTAATGATAAGGAGAAAACAATTGACCAACAAATAAAAATAATTACACATATTTATGCGCTTTTAGTTATACCATAAATTGAAATTTTCTAAATTTTATAATTTGTCAAAATTAAAAAAAAATACAGGAAGAGAGAGAGAGAGAGAGAGAGAGAGAGAAAGGAAAAAAGAAAAGAAGGAAAATTTCAGTGAAAATATTTTCATACAAAATATTATTTGAATGAGTGGAAAAAAAAAATTCAAATAACAAATTTTTATAATAAAAATATTCATTCATTCGTTTTTTTTCATATGAATTCTCGGTATGAATTGAAAGTTGACCCAAAATTGACCTGATTACCTTTTTTTTTTTTCCTGCTTGTCCTAAAATACATATTTTTGTAGTGACAAAAAGATGACAGAAGAGACAAAAAAAAAAAGAAAAGAAAAATAATATCGTCGAATTTTATTTGAAATTTATTCATTCATTCATTTCATTCAAATCTTTTGAAAAATTGACCTTGATGAAGGATAAAATGAATTATTTGAAAAGCAAATGATGTGATATTATTGAAAAAGTAAAGAAAAAAAAAAAATTTACATTACTTTAATTTCTTTACTATTACTTTTTGCTTTCGTTTTTTTTCCCTTTTTTTTTAAGGAAAAAACATGCATATAAGTAGTACAGGTAACATACCTATAAATAATTACAGGTAATAGCTAAAGTAATTGCCAAAATTTTTTCTTTCGTTTTCTTTTTCACTTTTAGATTATGTTACCAAGGTAATATACCCATAAGTAATTAAAGGTTTACATAATAGTATATATTCTACCATTTGAGCATTTAAAGTAACAAATTAATTTCTTTACTATTAATTTTCTTTATTTCCAAAAAAACGTACATATAAGCAATCAGATAACATACCTATAAGTAACTACAGGTAACATACCCATAAGTAATTACAGGTTTGCATAATAATATGTACTCTATCATTTGAATACTTAAAGTAGTAAATTAATTTCTCTATTATTACTTTTCTTGTTTTTTAAAGAAAAAACATATAAGTAATACAGGTAACATACCCATAAGTAATTACAGGTTTACACAATATTATATATTCTACCGTTTGAATATTTAAAGTAATAAACAAATTCTTTACATCATTTTAAATTGTTTATTTATTTAAATGAAATGCATAAAAGCCATATAATTATATGTTAAAATATTTATGCTTGAATACATTTTTATGTATTAAAAAAAGTTTTTTTTTTAAATAATTTATTAAATTAAAATCAAAAATAAAAAAAAAACATAAACATATTTATTGAAATTTATTAAATGAAATCAAATTTATTTTAATTTATAACATTTTGAAACTAATTTGTTATAAATAATAAAATTTTAATATACAATTAGTGATTAGTGAGAGTGATAAAATAAAGATTGAAAAAAATGATAAGAATTAAAAGACAGAAATTTTGAATTAATTACAACTGTCACCATGGTTTTGCTAAATAATGGATATTTTTTTTTTTTATAAAGTTTGTTTAAATTTTTTTTTCGTATTCTTTTTTTACTTTTAGATTATATTACCAAAAAAAAAATTTTGTTTTCAAAAAAAAAAGCAGAAATAATGAAAAAAAAAGAAATGTTTTTTTGATTTTAAGAAAAAAAACAACAATTTTGTTTTTTTTTATATGTATAAAATTACATTCTAATTTAATTGATATGAAAAGTAATCTTATAAAGCTTTTAAGCTAATGGAAAAAGCTAATAAGAAAAAGGAAAAAACGAAAGAGATCCATCCATTCAGAATTTATCATTTATTTTGTTAATCAAAAAAAAAAATTAAATTAATTAAAATAGGGAATGAAAAATAAAAACAAAAGAAATATTAAATGCTCAAAATTGTTTTCAATTTTTATAAATCTCTCTCAGAAGTTTCCCTTTTCTTCAAATTAAAATTTAAAATAGAAAAAAACCTTGATAGGAAAAGTAAAATTATTAATTTTTTTCATTTTTAGTAAATTATTGAAATTTTAAATATTGCCACTTTTTTATTGTTAATATTAGGATCTAAAAAGTAAACTTTAGTATAATTACACAATGAATATAAGTTAGTAAATTTAAATTGAATATTTGATAAAATCAAAATTCTTGCATGCATGCATGCTGTTGCAAACAATACTTACCTTATTTATAATATATTAGGTAATATCGTGGGTAGGAGAAAGTGAAGTATAAAAAGTTGCAAAGTAAGAGAAAATGAATGATACTAAAGTAATTAATCAATTAAAAATTAACGAAATTCATTAATTAATAATATTTGAAAAAGTTTTTATTTAAGTTTTTACCATTTTTTTATTTTGCAATCACATAATCTTTTTTCTTTTTTATTAAAATCAGTTTTTTCCAAAAATAAGTTATTATTTATAAAAATAATTAATTTGATTCAATAATATTTGCAAATAATTAAAAATGATTTTGCAGGGGAAAATATCATACATTTAAATTATATTTCATTGTTAGAATTTTTTTTTTTGGTTTATTTCTGTGATAATAATAAACATTAATTATTATTATTGAAATAATAATTAATAGTTATGGAATAGTAAAAATGCTAATAATCATGAATTACAATATTAATAATAATAACATAATAATATAGTAATAGCAATGGTGGTAATAACAAATAATGACAATAATAATAAATAATAGCAACAATAATAACAAATTACAATAATAAATAATAATAATGACAATAATAGTAAATAACAAATAATAATAATAATAAATAATTGACGATAATACTAATAATAAGTGGTAAATAATGATAACAATAATAACAAATGGTAATGACAATAATGATAAATGATAGTGATAATAATAATAAATAGTAAATGATAATAACAATAATAACAAATGATGATAACAACAGTAACAAATGATAATAAAATATAAATGTTCAGGTAAGTATACGTAAAATTGTTTACACGTTTAAACATTTGGAAGTAATAAAATACATTCGAACAGATAAATTATTTTACTTTTCAATAATACCTAATTATGCATCAATTATTATTGTTAATATCACTCTTTTCTCGTAACGTTTGTTTCTACGTACGTTTATATATCCATGATTCTTCGTGTTATGTTCACGTATGTCTTACTCGCAAATAGTTTTTGTCGTATTCAATAGGTAAAGTTATAAATAAAATAATATAATACAGCATGAAATTAGATAAAATATAATGAAAAGTAATATAATATAAGTAATTAAAGTAATATTATATATTACTTTACTTATCATCCATGTGAAAATCATATTATACTGATAATATTACCCAAAATTGTACTGTTTACTTATCAATTGTTGTATGATAATGTTAGTATCATTTGTAAATTTTGTTATATTTACTTTTATTTAACATTTAAAATCTAT